ATCTTTGCTAATAACTCAGACTAGATTTCTCTTCTAAATGATTCTCAGATGTTCTTCAGATGTCTTTTTGTCTAAACTCTCAAATTGTTTGAAACATTATAATTAATTGTATTGAATAATTACAAAAACATCTGCCAGACTTTTACTCAGAATACAAAATTTACAGCATAATTAGTCCTATTTAAAAGAAAAAAGTTTTCTCCCTTCGAAATTAAATCTTGAATGGAGAAATTGTGATAAATACAATCACAGTGATGTTCATTTTCTTGATTCAGATTGAAATCTAATGGCATTTGATTAAACAAACAAAATGAAATGTCATCTTGAGTCTGAAGTCAGGCTAAATAATGCAGAACAACATGAGGTTTTATTTTTTTATTTATTAATTTTATTTCAAAGCAGACTGATTAATGGAAATGAAAAAATGACATTTTAATAATCTCAAATCTTTTCTATGGAGAATAAATTACAGGGAAGAAAAATGTAGAATAATGTTGAGGGAAATATGTATAACATGCACATATTTATCCTGTAAGCAGAGTACCATGTGACGTCACACGCTGATGAAAATTGTATGGCCTGGGATTTGTAAAACTCTGACCTTTGACCTGCTTATCACTGATCAAAGCTGATCAAGGGGTAACTGGCCTTTTGTAGATTGATTGGTTCGTCTCTGATATTTGTTTATTTTAGGAGCAGATGTGTTTTATAACAGAATTTTTTTAACAAAAAGAAAGATGAATTCATATTTTCAACTGGCTTTAACAGCCCATGTTAGCGGCTAGCACATCTAGCACTGAAAAAAAAGGCAGTGTCCATGTGTATTTCCATAAGAATGTAGATCCTTACCTGAACTCTGAGATTTCCAACTGCCTACCAGCATCTAAATATCCAGCATGCTCCATGACAGACTGAGATTTAAACCTCAAACAGATAAAACGACAACTTTGTGTGTTCACTGATGGGCTAAAGATCTGATCTTTGAGTTGCCACAGTCACCAGTCTGGGCCAGTCGAGCTGAAAATCCTCCGTTGACCACAACTCACTTCAAATATTGATTCTGCAGAGATTTGCTTGTGTGTTAAATGGAAAACATAACGCAGTGGTTCTGACATGTTTCCCTGCTGCGGCTGAATCCTGTCAGTGCCTTTCTCTCCCATCCGACTGCCTGAAACACACGCTGCCACTTATTTCTCCAGCACCATCAGCATCTTCATCCCGTTTCAGTGCTTTCATACCCTCTTTTGTTGGGTTATGGCCACCGTTGGATCTAATGTAACATGCGCGTCTTCCCACTCGACCATTTTCCTTCAGTTTGATTCACTTTCCTTCCAGCCTTTGATTGACTTTCAGCCTAACTAAAGTGGATTTTAATGAGAGAATACATTAACTCCCTCTGGTCATGCGAGCATAAATCAGCTTTTTCTTGCGGGATCAACTGCTGAGCTCATACCGCCATGCTGAGGGAGTGTGAATAACCAAATGAGAGATTGCGGCTGTGGCGAAACTGCTGGCAGCTCAGATGCATCGTGGCGCGTCCCCTCCGAGTTTAACATGAGTTCAGGACGCAGACAGAACGGATGGCTTGTCGCCACGCAGGTCAGCGCGCTCCTGGGAGCCGCCCTTTCGTCAGGATCAATTAAACACATATTTCTGGTCGATTTCTATTGATTATTCCCTCCCATTTGTAAATTGGGTGACTCAGATCTTTTTCTTGCTGATGAGCACCATTTGATTTAGTTAGCATGGACCTGTAGCGGCTCTTCACCTTGATTTACGAAACGCGGCAAGTCCCGACGTCGCATCTATCTACTTCTCTATGTTGGTAATTGCACTCAGCTAAATAGGTTATGCTGAAATATCAATAAATTGCCATCAAATTAATGTCAATACCAAAGCTGTGGATGGTGCTAATTAAAACGCAAAAGGGCTGAAAATGAAGCCGAGGCATTGCTCTGAATAATTGATAACCCAATTTATGATTTTTATGAAAGAGTGCCGTCTGTCTGCGGTTCTGATGAGGCCTTAATTAGATGCATTAATGTGTCTCTCTGTGCCTGTACTCAAACTCCAAACTCAAACACCATGATAGTTTTTGGGGGTGTTTAATGCTCTGAATTGCACATTTTCGAATAACAGTGGCTCTAAATGCCCACTTAAGGTTGCGTTTGCTCCAACGGAGGTGCTGGTGGGGGGATTCTCACGGTTCCACTCAGGTTGTTTTTCTCTTCCGGGTGGGATCAAACACAAACCAGCGGGATGTTTTTATCTCATGCTGCTACCGTGTGGAGGAATGGAGAACTAATGTGTGCGTTTGCGTGCGTTTGCTGCAAGTTTCACACAAAGGAGAATCCAGTGAGGTCGGATCACCTGGCGATAAAGCGCTAAGCACGCATGAATGTGTAATGTTTATTGACTCTGGCAGATCGGAGTGATCTTGTGTTGATTTTTTCTAGCTCCTCATCTATTACCTGAGCTCGACCTTTGAGATAAATGAAGAGCGAGGGAAGCAGACGGATGAGGGGATTAGAGGAGAGTCGCAACGGGGAAGTAAGGCCGAAGGGGGAAGGAAAGAAAAAAGACAGACTGCAGGCAGATAAATGAGGTGGAGGAGCGTAATGATTGCTGTTTGTTATGATATACAGAATCAAGTTCTCTTTGACAAAACAGTCCTTAGCACCTCTGTATTTATAGTGTCAGCGGTCAGTCCATCCGCAGAGGCGGGTGGATGATGTGTAGGAGTGTTAGTGCCGTGAGCGCTGTTCTGGAATGACCCACTCATCCGTCAGGACCACAGACCTGAGCAGTGCTGGAGTGTTGGGTCTCAGCTTGCTGTCATATTCAAAGTTAATGCAGATGAAAAACTTCATTGAGGATTGGGATGCAGAAAGGGAGAAAAAAAATAATTCTGCACCGTTTTGCTTTTGCGGTTGATTTTTTTATGAATGAGACTCATTGGGGAGTTGCTGTGAGTCTGAAGTTGGGAGGGAGGCTCTTTGTTTAAACTGGATCAGCCGGCTGTGGGATGACATGTTTGGTTTTTCACAGCAGTTAAACAGACCTTTTCTGAGCGCAGAGGGGGACGCCGACATTCCCCTCGTCATCCCTGGCCTGAATAGAGGTGTCATGCTGACTTATGTAAATGGAGTTTAAAATGTGTCTCTGTTTCAAGACTTAAAAAGACAACTCTTGTTGTTCCCTTGTGTTTACCTCCACGTTGACTAATATATTCAGAGGAAACTCAGCTTTGATGGCTCACAGAAAATCACGGAAGATAGCTTTTATGCTGCCCAGGAGTCAAGTTCCTCTCGACGGCCAGAAAATGGACCAGACATTAAGATAAGGGATCATCCAGTTACTGGTATCAAGATGGAACAAGTTACTGTTTCAACTACAAGTAACTTTAAAGTCTTCTAGAAGTGATGTCAGAAAAAAGTGCTGAAGAGACCAGAGTTTTTTATGGCTGTTTGAAGCAGAGTAGCAAAATGCTGCTAATTTGTTACAACTTATTGCCAGTAATCTGTATTTTTGCTTTAATCTGTGTATAAAAATTTAAAACACAGTGAATGTATGTAAGAATCAATATATCTGTGTTATTTTAGAAGTGGTAAAAATGGTTGTTGCTCTAATAAAAAAAATAAATAAATAATAGCATCTATATCATGTTATAGATTTTGTTTGACATTTTTTTAAATAAGTAATTTCCTACATTAAAATATATTAGTTTCACTTATTATATCATAGAAAATTCATTCCAGCACATTCCTAATTTACAATTTTTTCATTATACCATGAACAAAATATGCAAATTGTAGTCCAGACCCCCGTAATCATGGGGATTAACTTCCTGCTAAATCCACAAATACTTAAGACCTCCTTTTAAAAACACATATAACTGCCTGTTTTAAACACCAAATATACCCTGATATTTATGAATACCCACAACGGAAACCATCTTAGCTTTACAACAGAATCCAACATCTTACTTGTCTCTGCTTCTGGTGGTACAGCCATCAGCAGCAGAGAAAATGAATGGTGCTCTCGGATCGGCTGCTTTACGAGTGCCAGACAGTAGCATGTCCAGTAGTACTGCACCCATGTGTTTCAGCTTCCCAAGCTGTATTTTCCTTTGAATATTTAAGATATGCTCTCCAAAACAAATCAGGGAATGGAAGGCAAATAATTTCAATTACGTTCCACAGAAAAATCCACAAAGAGTTGGGCATCTGGTGTATTTTTAAAATATGGACAGGATTATGAAATTGGATTTTGGTAGTTTTCTGTAAATGCTTACGAATTCATGCATGGCACACATCACTGTACATTTTATAAGGTAAAACAGGTTAATTGGCTCTAAACAATGCAAGATATACTGTTATATGTGATTAAAGAATTCAGAACCCAATAAAAAAGTGTTTATAATCAAGAAAAGTGCATTGAAAGTGTAAGATTTAAACTTTTTTTTTGCACTTACTGAAATAATTCCTGCTGTTGCTCTCAATTAAAGCTCAAACATTCTACGTATGGACCAACAAAATCTTGCAGTGCTGTATTCATTACTAACATATCACACTAATTAACTTTAGACTTTTGAAGCTTCTCTACTGTCCTATCATGTTTGCTGAGCGAGGAGTTGTTGGATCCCCACAGGAAGGTTGCTCTCATTAAATTGTTATGTGAGCAGATGAATGGACTGCAGTGCTCAGTAGCACTGTAAATGTATTGATCCAAGTTTCCTGAAGCCTTGCGGGGGATGTATTTGATCCTCACGGTTGGGGAATTTAGAAACTGATGAGCGTACATGTGTTTCCTAAGGACTAAAGCAGGTTTAAGTGCAGCTTATTTGGCGTCAGAAATGGCGTTTATTGATGATCGTATGAGTTGGCTGGAAGTTGTAATATAAAACAATTAAAAATGCTCTGATTTGATCAAATATACTAGGACTTAATTTGAGCATTTTTTTTTAGTTTTTTAGATTATTCTTTTGCTTTTCATTGCAGATTTAGGTGACATCCCCCCAATTGGAGCCCAGGAACTTACCAACAACTTGAAACAGGGCTTCCTGGAGAAGAAACGAAAAGGTATAATAGAACCTCACCCATATCCTGCAAGTTATATTCCAATTACTCATGTTTGCTTATGAAAGCCTGCTTTCTTCAGATCACAGCTTCTTTGGCTCAGAGTGGCAGAAGAGATGGTGCGTCCTGAACCACTCCGTGTTTTACTACTTTGGGAGTGAAAAAGGTTTGCTAGTAGCTGTAGGAAACATTACAGCTGCACAAAGTGAATCAGATAACAGCCTACCATGTGTTCCGCCTCCCGACAGATAAACAGCAGAAAGGCTCATTTTATATCAGTGACTATAGTGTGCAGCTGTCGAGTAGCCTGAGAAAAGACTCCAAAAAAAACGCCTGCTTCGAGTTCACAGCTCCTGGTCGACGGGCCTTCCAGGTCGGTTCATATTATTCACCGTAGAGCTGTCTCGTTTTCAGTGATAACAGTTATTCATGTCATTGCAGCTCCTGCAGATAATTATACTCACATCTACAGAATCATTATATGAAAACAGCTGGAGGAAGCTAATAAGAATGTCATATATTTTTACATTATTTATTGCTATCATGAGACAGAGGTGGCAGATGAAGTTTCTGTCCGAGTATTGATGTTGTTTCCTTTTTTTCTGCAGAAGAGCTTTTGTTGTCTGCTATTTGTTTAGAAAGTCTGAAAAGACTTCAGATATCAATCAAAGTATGACTTAATATTTGTATTTTTAACTGTAATTTGAAGATATTTTTATGATAGCTGGCAGTCCATAAAAATGTAAAATCCATACAATTGCTTTTGCGGTTGACTTTATTTCAAATATATATATGCTGTATTCATCTATTATTTGCAAACTGTAGCTTATTTATTTTTATTTAGAAAACATTTAAATGAAAAAATGTCCATTGATTATTTTAATAATCATTACATCTTATTTAACAGATATTTGAGGGCAAATAAACACGTTTGAAATATTTGCTTTCCTTCAAATTTAACTTTCATTTCACTTCTCCTTATTATTATTCAATTTTTAAATATTTTACAAAATTCCTAAGCACTTTAATATCAATAAATTGTGTCCAAATCTTTTTGTCAAACGTTTGGGTAAAATGTCATGTTAATTTAACAATTAGCTGCAGATGGTTAGCTGCAGAGTTTAGATATGATTTTAAAGGCTGTATTATTTCCCCTCTCTTTGCAGTTCACTGCCAGCAGCCCTCAAGATGCCCGAGAGTGGGTGGACCAAATAAATTTTGTTCTGAAGGGTAAGACATCATCTCTTTGCATTTCTTTCCTGTAGCTTTGTTATGTGACGTCTCCTCTCCGTTTTGTTTTTTTCTACAACTTTTTACAGGTTGAAAAACCTCACAACATAAGGAAAATGCAATAATAATAATAACCACAATGGAATAAAATTTATTTTAGCTGACGTTTTAAAAGGTTGATAAGAAAATACATTTGAAGAAATATAAATAACATTTTTTTTCCCTCCATCTGAGTCGTTATTGTGTTTCCTCGGTGCAAAAAGGTCAGAAGTGCGTGGGAGCTCTTTATCATCTCTTTCTGGAAAACAGCCAATCTGTCACCAACTACACAACCAGACACATAAGTCCTGAATCCTCTCATTCCACTTGTCAACCCACAAAGTGATGTGCATCCTTGTGTGCATCCTTGTGTCCATGTAGTTTTCCTCCACTCCATTCAACTGCGCCTCCCATTATCCTCCTACCGAATTCCAGCTTACAGGAAATTGATTGGTAGATGTTCTGGTTATCCTCCAGTGACATTGATTTCTGCTTGGTTGCTGCTGCATGGTGGAGGACCTGATACCCTGTGTTGCAGCGGCCAGTCGCTTGCAATGAGACAGCTCCTCCATCTGAGCGAGCCCTCGCGTCTCCGGCTCTCTAAAATGGGCTCGGGCTGGCCTTCTGCGTGCGGGAAGTAACAGACACTCTGCAGTTTGTCTTACGTCCTCCAAGCATAGTTCTGCTTCACAGTCTCGTCCAGTGCAACGCATAAAGACAGTTGTTTATGGTTAAAACAAATGTAAAAACACACCAGCAGGCCGAGATTGTCAAAATATACTTGGATTTTTATGTTTTTATAATTGGAAACCTTTAAAGTGAAGCAGCAAAGATTGGTAATGAAGGCAAAAGCGACCACTGTGAATTTTCTGGTTCTTTTCTTGAGCTCCTGCAAAATGTACAAAAACTGCTTTTACATAGTCATACATGAGTGTTCTTTCTGTTTTTTTTTTAAACTAAATATATTTTATAAATCCCAGAATTTCTCAAAACTACCATTCAACAGTTTTAATGATTTAACCCCTTAAATGCCAGTTTAGTTGCTTCAACCTTTCCAAGTACCATTTTAACACTCTTTATATATAATCAAATACAGCACAACATGTTTCACTGATGTTAAAATGACTAGAGATGCACATCTCATCGATTAAGCATTAAAAGTTTTTAAGCACTTTTAACATGCTTAAATGATTATTAAATTATATCAGTATCATTTAATAATGACACTTATAGGTGGTAGGTGAAGAACTAAAAGAGAGAAATGTGATAAATAAATAAAATTAAACTGATAAAAACAGAATTAACAGCAACTTAAAATAAAAATATGTAACATAATATTATAGTGACAGTGAAATGATAAATAACATGATCAAAAACATTCATATTTGTCAATTCAGTAGTGCTAAAATAATAAGACAGACTGTAAATAGCTATTATATAAGTTGCTAAAAGCTGAAATTGAAATAAAATGAACTGAGATAATAACTGGCGATAAACATCACTTAAAAGCCAGACTGTATCTTTGTTTTGCATCCTCAAAAACATCCAAACTCAGCGTCTCTCAGGCTTCAGCTCATGACTGCAATCCAAAACAGACTCCTCGCTAAATATTTTGGTTCTCACTTTTAAGTACCAAAAGACGACCTGAGGAGTCTGTAGAACAAAACCAAATCTGATAAATATATTTGGCTAAGACTATTACGAGTAAAAATCAATTTTATGATAAATAGGAAGTCAGTGCTGAAAATATTCCATCGCTGTGATGAAAACTCACTGGCTGAGTTACACCTGGTCTATACTCATCGTTTCTCGCATCAGAAGTGCAGACAAGTGCATTATATAAAGGGGCGTATACTTATGTTTCAGCCAACCGTACACATCCGTTTTTTTATTGCAAAGCATTTTTTTAGCAACAGCAGGAAAAAGTTTCTTTCCTCTATCAAATGATATCTGCCGGGTTTAACGATGTTTCTCCTTTCCTCATAGATCTCAGCTCCAATATCATCCCGGTTGACGACGATGAGTATGAGGACGAGTACGATGACATTGAGGGCCTGGCCCAGGGTTCACCACTGATGGCGAACCCTGGGCCATCTGTGGCCCAGGGTTCACAGGTCATCAAGCAAATACGACGACAAGAGAAGTATGAGCCTGATGATGAAGACGACATCTATGAGGAACTGCCAGGTATGCCACCGCCTAACATAAATGAATTCAAACATCATGTGACCATCAGATCAGTTTAGTGCACTGAGTTCTTCATAGAATGGCTTTCCATGGGCGACCAGAGCAGGTGCCAGAGCAACACAAGGTATTGCATGCTGTGGTGTTAAGCAATACCTGCTACTTTACTCTAGAGCAGTGAATATGTGCTTTCTCTAGTTATTTTCAGCTGTGAGAAGAATGATTCTTATCCTCAAGATGCTGTGGGACTGTTTTTCAAGAGTTTTGCCCATTTAAATGAAAGGAGGAGTTTAAGGTTTCAACAAACAAGGACATTTTGGATAAACATGAGCCTTGGATGAGCCAGTTTGATGTGGAAGAGCTTGAGTGGTTTACACACAGTCCTGACTTTAACCTGAAAGAACACCTTTCGGATAAATTAAAACACAGACTGGATACCATTTCTTTTTGTCCAACATCAGTGTCTGACCTCACAAGCGTGCTGTTGAAAGAATAGTCAGAAATTCCTATAAGCATCTCAGAAGATCTACAGCTGCTGGAGTTGTATCACATTAAAGTTATGGACTAATAATGGGATGTCAATCAAGGTAAACTTTTGTACGAGACAAATACTTCTGACTCCATTAGGCAGAAATCAGATCCAGGATTGTAACCGTGGGACTTGCTATTAGCTGTAGCACTGCTAATTTTGCTGAATACAAATATTCGCCGTAGTTTTCACCAACTTTGAACGTTTTTTCTCCCAGTTTTGTCCCGAAAGAAAAGCAATTGACATTTAAGTTTATGTACTGAAGCAAGAAGAAAATACTGGAGAGAGGAAATGCAATTGTATCTTATTTTAGTTGTCTAGCAAGGTGGGAAGAATTGAAAGATTCAGTCTTCTGGAGCAGCTGGTGTGAATTATGATACAGTTAACATCCAGTACGTGGTGGTTATACATCCCCATGATCTGCAACTAGGAAATATTAACACTGGGAAAAAAGAAAATGTCAGATGGGTCACATTCAATGATATATGAATTTAAAATTTAATTTATTAAAGGCAAAATATCCAGATGCATAAATTATGACTACTTCTAGTTTGCATGTTAGCGAGATGGCCATTACTAAAGCTAATTTAAATTGTTTTGTCAGAGTAAAGACCGTAGTAGCGATAAAAATATTAGCAAAATAAATGTGGTGCATTTCGAGTTTGAAAAGTAGAAATACCATTTATTTACCGTGATTTGAGGCCTTTGAGAGTGATAATAAAACTGCAATAAACATGTAACACAGTTCGTTGTTACAACGTTACTCTTTTTAACTGCAGCAGCCATATTGTGGTTGTGTTGCTCAGAGACCTTTGACCTTATATTTCAGGAGCCTAATTTCTGGGAATGTTTGGGATAAAATAGTAAATTTCCACTTTGACGTAGAAATTTCTTATTCTAATTATTCAGTTGTCAAAACGGAAATGCACCTCTGGCTCTCTGCAAACTTAATTTGTCACGTTTAACTTCAAAATCTCAAGAAAGTTTCAAACTGAACATGATAAGCGAGCTACCTTTTGATGGAGTGCTTATTTCTGAACTATTGCCACTCATTCTTCAGTCATATTAAAAAGCTACTGTTCAGTGGGCGATTTGTAATTGCCTATTTAATAATGTGCCTTATAGTTGAAACAGCAGTTTGTGGCTGAATTTCCGATCATCAGTGATATGAGAACAGCATATGTTAAGACATTTTTACACCCAAAAACAATCAGTTAGATCTGGTTTAGACCTGCATCACAGATAATGCTGCTGTTGCTTATTTATGTTCCATGTAAATGGAAATTGACCAACATCCATTTTTTTTTTAGAAAGCAGTGGGGTGCCTCAGGTGTCTTCTTATTGCCACCCGAACTGATGTCTCATTTAAAATCAACGCTAATAAGCTCGACCGTGCTGCTGCAGGGCTGCTCAGGACAGCAGAAGATGTGAAATCCTCTTCCTCTTTATCTCGTGGTAGTTTGGAAATGCTCTGTCATAGAATGTCCAATTAGCTAATGTTGCCTGGCAACAAATAGCCTCCGGTTCAATCCACTAAGCAGAGTTTTGGGGGCTAGAATTGCCTAGCAACAGTGAGCAGAAAGAAAGGAAAAAGCGGCGTCTCAGAGGCCTTAAAATAGTCCTCAATGCCTCATAGTTCACAGAAGTTAGATTTCGAGTGACGGAAGAAGTCTGTGTTCGGCTTCGTTCTGAGACCGGGCTACAAGATCCCAAGAAGGACAAAAGAGGCGATCTGATCTTCTCAGCGTCGTCGTCCATCACTGTTCCTATTAAATAAGATACATCAAGATTCTGTTTCACTCAGTGAGTACATTACCTTTGCCAAAATCGCTGGTGAAAGGGAAATCGGTCTTCAAACTGTCACGCCGCCGTTCAAAGCCATCTGGGAAGAGGTAGAGACCCTGACCACAGATGGCATATCGAATGACGAGCTCTTTCGTTCACTTTCTCACCCCCAAAGCTTATCAATCACTCTGCTACACTCTGTGCTCAGCAACAGCTTTTACACAGTGATTACAGACCGGTAAATTATTAAAATCTCCACTAATCAGGGCTACAGATGAGCAGAGCTGATGGTAATAGATATATTCCTTTGCTAAATCAAAAGACAACAGCACCGGTGCATAAATTTACAAAGCAAGTGTCGTCATTTGTGCTCTTTCCTGAAAACTTGTTGAAATTAAATACCGAGAATTCTGCAAGACTGTATGCTTTAGGCAGATTGCAGGCTTCAAGTTCTGATGACTGATTTTATTGACTGGAAAATTTAATCACTTTAATGTGGAAACCATCAGGCTGTCGCAGCGGCTGCTCCGCCTGTGATGCCCCTCTTTCTGCCACTTGAGGACCGCTGGACAAATGTTTAGAAGCAAAGCAAACCAAATTAAAACGACTCTTCAGGGTGGAAAAAGAAGATGGTGACTCTCTGCATCCAGAGACACAAACTGAACTCGCATCCAGAAATATTTATGTGTGTGCGTGTGTGCTTGATCTCTGCTTCTCTTCCTGGAACGGAGAGGTGCTGGTCGTGCTGGAAGGCGGATAGTGTTGCTGCGTTGTGGCTTCGCTGTCAGCCCTCTTCTGTGCACGACGGATGTGGGAGTCAGTGGCAGGCGGATCACTGTGTCACAGAGCAGACCAGCGGGTGCCACGCCCCGCAGGCACACAAACCTCCGCCTCTTCGTGACTTCAAAACCGCTTCTGCTTCTTTTGCGTTTCTGCGCAGTTCTGATCCTGGACGAGGAAGAAGATCCATTATAGATTTGCTAAGGATTTCATTTTGACCAGCATTTTTTCCTTCTGTGATTTTAATTTGTCCTCATCATAATGATCAATTATATGTATAATCATAATTATCATTGCAGAATAATATACGCAGTTATCCTGTTTATGTTTCCAGCTTTTGGTTTTATGGTATTTTACAGTTTTCCATCCCTCACTCTTGTTCTGATCCTTTCTAAAAGATTCACAAGACAAATATTTTCTTATTTTTGCCCTAGTAGTATAGAAGACAGTCAGAGTGATAAATAAACATATATATATATATATATATATATATATATATATATATATATATATATATATATATATATATATATTATATATATATATATATATATATATATATATATATATATATATAATCATATATATAGTGATTGCAACATCAGGAAAAAGGAGCATGAGAAACTGGAGAAATACCAGGGCCTCAGGGAAGAACTGGAGAGGGCCTGGAAGGTGAAGACCACAGTGGTGCCTGTGGTCATCGGGGCCCTCGGGGCAGTAACCCCCAAACTGGAGCAGTGGCTACAACAGATCCCAGGAACAACATCAGACATCTCAGTCCAGAAATGTGCAGTCCTTGGCACAGCCAAGATACTGCGCAGAACCCTCAAGCTCCCAGGCCTCTGGTAGAGGACCCGAGCTCAGAGGATAAGAACCACCCGCGGTGGGTGAGAAGGGATTTTTTTTTTTTTATATATATAGACACAAACACACACACACACACACACACACACACACACACACACACACACACACACACACACACACAGACACACACACACACACACACACACACACACACACACACACACACACACACACACACACACACACACACACAATACATATATACAGAAAACAGTCGGATGTAGTGATCAGACATTTCCTGGCCAATACAGGATTTTTTTCTGACTCTCCTCTTGCAGCAGGAACATTGATAGAGGGAGAAGTTTTGAGGCTTAAAAAGAGTTGTTATTCCCAATAACACTTCACAGGAGATTCTTTTTTTTTTTTACCTTTATTTGATTTATTACTAAACTCCAGGGTGCACCTGCTGTTGATCCAGTTTCTTAAACCCTAAAGTGTTGTTTCTTCTTTATTTATGTAAATTATGTACTATTAGAAATGTCATACAATAATCAATGTATTTTGTGTCTTTAGAGGAAGATCTTCAAGAACAAGTGGAAGAGACTGCTGAGAAGAACAACCAGTCAGGTGAGAATTAAATTTTGAAGATTTCCAAATCAATAACAGAAAGTAGCCGTTTCCCAGAGGTTAAAGCTTTTTGCCTCGTTTGAGTGAATTTGTGCGCTGTGTTTCCTTCCAGCCATGTCATCAGAATATGCTAACTACTACCAGGGTTTGTGGGACTGCCAGGCCGACGAGACGGATGAGCTGGATTTTAAGAGAGGGGATCTCATCTATGTCATTAGCAAGGTGGGAGGAAGCGGTTACTTCAACTTCCCTCTGGTTTCTGGACTTTCTTCTAATTTGTCGTTGTGATCTTGATGACAGCCGCTTTTTATTTCTAATGAAAGAAAATTCCCAGAGTGCTCCCTCTGACTTGTTGATCAGCCGTCCCAAATGAGATGCTGATAAAATAAACACACACACACACAAAAACTGTGTAATTATTTAAGGGTTAAACAACATCAGCTCTGGTGATCGCCTCGCGAACATGCTGATATCCCCAACATCTAAATACCCTCCGTTAGCGAGAGCTCACATCTCGCCGCAGCACAGAAGCGCCGACAGCTGCATCGTCTATTCCCGGGCCGCCGGGGTGAAGTGCCATTCGGATGCTGCGTAATGGTGCTGTTGTTCATTACGGAGCCTCTATCGCCGGGGTTAATTGAGCAGGCAGCCATGCGAGGGTCTTCCTTTCTGTTTGATGTAAACTGCAGGTGAAAGCCATCCTGCATCTCAGCTCTTTTCTCCCAATCTGTTTCCTCGTGTTATATGGGCGCCGCGCAGCTACATGCAGAGTATTACCAGTGAAAAGACATCCTACTGGAAATCAATGGCTTGTAATTTGGGCACTTCTCCTCCTCTGCGGAGTGGGACTTGTTCCCAGATTGTTGCGATTGGTCGATTTCAAATTGAATCATCGTGCTATGTGTTTAGACCAAATCATATGAGGAGGGGAGGCAAGATGAAGGAAGAGGCTTATAATTATGTAATTGTTATTTTTGCTGTACTTTAATTATTTACAGTAGAATAAAAGAGGAAAATATTTTGTATTTGTTCCTGATAAAGACACATAAAGCTTTGAGTCTTTATCACGAAGCTTCTCCTTTAAAGCTCCCTTTACAGGAGAGGGAAGTAAACATCCCCCTCAAACATTTTCAGATTTTGTCAAATAGAGTTTTGGAGTGGAAAGAGAAAATTATTTATTGCTTGCCACATTTTGGAGTGTGGTGAGCCAAGCCTCTAAACTTTTAACACGCCGAAGCATCAAATTACCTTCAGAAATTACTAAATTAGTAATAAGATTCATGCTGCAAATCATAGCCTTTAAAGATTGGTGCGTGTTTGTGTTCATCCTCCTGACTCATCATTTTGCAGAACAGCTTTTCTATGCAGTCTCAGCTGCAGGTCTTTGGTCTCTGCCAGCTGTGCACATGTGCAGACTGAAATTTGTCCCATTCTTCTTTGTAAAACAGATCAATCTCTGCCAGACAAGAGGGACCGCATCTTTGAACAGTAATTTTTGAGCCTTGTCACAGATTTTTGTTTGTATTTAGGTTTGGAATTAGACCACTGTCTCTCTCTAGCTGTTTGTTTACGCTCTTTGTCCTGCTAGAAGGTGAAGATTGTCCTGTATTTACCTCCATCCTGTATTTACCTCCAGCTGGAGAAAAATATCCCTAGAGGATGTTCTGCCACCGGCATGTTACGCCATTCGCATCATGTGTTCAGGATGCCAGTGTTCCTCCACATATAGAGCTTCAGAGCACCTTCTTCAAGATGTGCTGAGATTCCGACATGATTTGCAGCAAGAAAAGAGGACCGAATACAAATTCACACCACACTTTTCAGACTTTTATTGGGGGGAAAAAAACAAAACTTTTTTTTCCCCAGTTTGTGTTGCTCTTCACCAGGAGAGTCAAACTCATTTTCATTTTGGAGCTGATTAAGATAATAAATGTTTTGATAAAACTACCTATTAAATTAAAGCTTTATCTGTATTCGATGGGTACATCTTACAATAAATAGTATTAACTTCACATTGATAATTCTGGTAATTTGGGACTGTACAAATAAAAGCTGATTTGATTCGACTGATAAAATCATGAGTTCTATTGATGTGGCCTTCTAGAGTCTTGAGGGTCACACCAATAGCTACGGCGGGCCGGATTTGGGCCACGGGCCTTGAGTTTGACACCTGTGGTCTAAACCATAAAATGCCAGTGGAAAACATTAACATCTGTGGTTGTGACTTGCCAAAACGTAGAAGTTCAAAGGGTGTAAAAACTTTTGCGAAGCATTTCTCTTGGCCGTGCTCTGAGTGCTACGGAGCCGATCTCCTCCGTCTGCGTGTTTCGGGTGATTTGGGGGAAAAATGTCAAAGCGGCTGTCTTCATTTTTCACATAATGCTGGCAAAAGCAGGAAAACTTGAAGGTAACAAAAGGGGAGCTGGCTCTGCAGTACGGAGTCGCCCCACATCGCCTGAGCTCTGCTCCCTGGATTATATTTCACCATGTAGATTCTGTTACTGCGTCACTGAGGGGCTTAAAAGAAAACTACGGCATCCAAGTTGGAAGCGAGGGCTGTTTGTTTTATCTCCTAATCTTAATGACACAGATCACTCTTGTTTTGTCAGGCTGGAAGATAAAAGTCATAACATGGTTACAAGCTACAGCACTCTGACTGTCTTCTAATAGATTTAAAGTGCGATTGTAAATTATATCGATGAGATTTCCGAATGCTTGGCTTTGCTAGAGAACACGACTCAACCCGTGTCCCGTTTTGCGTTCTAATAGCGCCGCGATGCCCTCATGAATTGTATTATTTGGATTATTGCCTGTAATCGGCTGTTTTGTTTTAATGAGGCCTCGGGGAGGGCTTCCCTGCGTCTCTACACACAGACCCTCGCTGTTGTTGGGCTTTACAGGGGAGGGATTCCTGGGATCCCTGACCTCGGTGAGTAAAATACGGGCCCTTGGCTAGAACTCAAGCTTGTCGTTTAACCGGCGGGACCCAGACACACGAAATGGCCGTAATAAAACCAGGGCCCATAAATTCTCTTGGAGGGTGGGAGGCCTGCTTGTCTCTGCTGTTATGTCAACACTGACCATAATTACAGGGTAATAAGGACACGCTCTAAGTGCTAAATCAATGGTGCTAACAAACTGTTATTTTTAAAGCTAGCATGTGATTGACTGCTGAAGTGCAGAGTGGGGTAGCCACGGGCGGGGTGTCATATGGCTGTGAACTGAGGAGGACATGCCGATTGTATAAAAGGCCCTCATCCATCATTATTGATCCCTCGCTTACTGTAAAGTGGGGGCATTTTTACTGTATTTGTGTTTTTTTTCCCCTCCCCTGTGTATTGCTGCGTGCGCACACATCGCTGACAAAGTAAATAAATTAGGAACCTCACAACTCATATGAATCCCATTAGTTCGAGGGAATTAATCTCGTAGCGTGAATCTTTCGATGATGTCTAACACGCCTTCTGCAGAGCTCGATGGGGATGTTCAGCCTGCTGATACATGAGGTGGTAACACACCGTAAAATTCATCTTTTTTTTTTTTTCTGCAGCACTTTCTTAAAGCTTGCATTTTTCCTAATGCATTTCCTGGCCAATGTAGGTTTTATAAATGCAGTTAACATGGCATGAAATATTAGTTTTCCCACAAACAGGAAGACAGATGCTGTCCGTCGCTAATCTGTGCTCTTCCAGATTCTCATCAATTAGATTTTTTTTGCCTTTTCCTTAAGAATCATAAGCTAGATTTTATGGAGCATCAGCACTCTCCTCTTCAGTTTACTTGTTTCCCATTTAGGCTCAAATACATTTTTTAAATTTAGCTAAAGTGTCTTAGAGGCTGTGCACTTCAAATCTTAAGTATGGACAAGTTGGCAAAGTTTCCCCCAAGTTTTCTGTTTGTCCAAAACATTGTGCTTAAGCCGACTTGTAATTTGGCAGTGTGGTCAAGGTCACTGTCCATTTGGACCAGGCTGTGTCCAACCTCCAAGTTTGTGTCTGATTACTTCAGATGTTTCAATGTTTCTACGCATTTCCACTTACGACGGCATGAGCAGTTCAGCAGTTGCTCCTGCATGGATTTATTTTGAATTTTGTCTGAAGATCCAGCATGCCCCTGGGCAGTCAATGTGTGTCTGTATCCCAATAATCTTCTGCACTGTAAGTTTAGATGTAGCTGGAAATGATTCGCCAGTCTCAAAAATGCCTAAGCCTGTTTAGACTTGTGCCAGAATGAGATTCTCACAACATGATAGGCATGTGTAAACATGCCATGCTCTTCCAATATAATGGCATTACCATAAAAAAATAAATTAAGAAAGAAAATAAACAGTTCTTTCAGATGTTAAAAAAGATAAATATATAAATATGGGATTGTCATGGTTATTGTAGTGATATCCATAATATGCGTTGATTTTGATAAATGTAGGAAAAACACCTGTTCAGCAGAGCTATGTTCAATAAGCTTTATTGTGAATTAAATAAAGGCATCAGAGATTATAAACTGTGTTTTAATGAATTTGTATTTATTGTAGGATAATTCAGTCTGAGGTTTTTATGCCCCAAAATTTATGAAATAGCCCTTTACTGCATTGCCGATACTGATATTTGATGATTTGTGAAATATTAAGATAATAAAGCTCAAGGAGGTAAATCTTTTGTACTGTTGGAAACAAAGGCATTTGATTCTAGAAAAGTATGAAATTGTCCAGTGAAAGGTTTACAGGAAACCCAGCTGTACTCTTTTTTTATTTTCTTCAACAGCTGGATTTTTACTGCATGAAGTGATAAAGTCATAATTATGATTTTTCTGTATGAAGCATATTGCCTGCCCTTTTCTCCATCCTGGCCTGTATTGGCCCTGTTACCAGATTTCCCTGCAGTTTCTCTCTCTTAATTTTGCTCCACCTCGTGTGTATCGGACCGGTCCGGCACTGGACCAGGAGGTACGTCCCGCATTCTTGCCCTCTAATTTATGTATCCCTAATCAAAAGACCGCAGCTCTACAGGTCAGCTGTCACATTCCTGTATTCCCACAGGCACTCATGGGGAACGGCAGGATGGAGTGGGAAGAGATTTATGGCACAAACCCAGTCCAGGGTCCTTAAAACTCTGGCAGGCGTTGCTTCCACCTCTCCCCTCGTCCTCCCTTCTCGCTTCCCTCACTCCCGTTCCTCCTCCCAAGCAGAATCAGGAGAGCGCGAGCGAAGGCTGCGGGCTCAGCCA